GTTTCATACAAACTTTCATCCGCAATTTTACCCCCTTATGATATGAATTTCGAAAAATGCTAAAACACATATTTAATTAATTGTATTGAAGCGTTTAAGTACCAAGTTTCAAGTAATTCTGATCATAAATATTTTTTGGGATTGTATTATACCGTGTTTTTCCGTAGGAAAGAGATAATCTTCCGCGGTAAAATATAGCCTATGTCACTCTCCAGCCCTCCAACTATCTCCACACAAAAATCCACGCCAATCCGCCAAGCCGTTTCGACGCGAAAGAAAGACAAACAAACAAAAACAAACACACTTTCATTTTTATAATATTAGTGTGGATTGTTTTTTATATGATAGTAATTGTCATACGAAACAATTTTAAAAGGAATACGTATATTTTTAATTACACCTAACCCCATTACACCCGTTGCATAGTGATTGCACAAAGACCACAAGCTGAGTTATTGCTTATAAGTTACTAGCATTGCCGGCGGCTTTGCCCGCGTTCAGATGACCAAAAACCAAATTCTTAGGTTTTACATATTACTATATTCTTACATTGCAGTTTTTGTATTTTTCTCAGAAATGAGATATTTTCCCGCGGTAAAAAGTCTTATATGTTGACTTGGATAACCAGCTATCATCATACCAAATTTCATCAAACTCTGTCCAGTGGTTTTCTCGTGATGCGGTAACAGACAGACAGACAGACAAAAATTCGAAAAACTATAGATTCGGACTCTGTATCAATAATAATGTCTATTTCAATTAGTTTTTCCAAAAAATATTTAATGTACAGATTCGAATTAGTTACAATTTTATTACTTGTATAGATAAATATACGTCGAAAACCAAACTATGCTTTTTAAGTCACAAATAATTAATTTGTAAATGTAAAAAAGTTCTATTTAACCCTGTAAAGTTATTTTCATAGAATGTTCAAGAATATACATACCTACTAGTAAAACTGTAATTTTAATTTAAATATCCTCATAACGATATTTCCAATGTTTGCTATATTTTATGCGAATTAAAGTATAGGTAGGTATGTGTCTTAATATTTGGGCTTGTAAAAATGACTAAAGACATTAAGTTAGGAGTTGAATAATTTTAATTCTTCTTAGCTTTCGAGTAGGTACTTATAACACGTTTCGAGTACTTATAAACTCATCGAATGCAGATCACAATCCACTTTTTTAAATCATTTTTTTATATCGCGTTGACAAATCATTTTATCCAAATAGATTTTTATTTCTTATTTTCAGATAACAAGTTGCAGATTAATAAATGAAATATATCTATTTATCAAAAATAAATTTAGTAGACATTTTCTTAAAACTACATTGGAACAATATTTACTTTTATTACCACCTAAATTGTTATGTTCATAGGATTTAAACGATAGTCTTGATTTATTCATGCATTTAAAATGCAAACGGGATCCTAATAATGAAATATTGATTATTACATATAAACGTTATAAAAATTTCTGCAATGATTTACTGAAACGTTTGAAGCGTATTCATGACAGGAATGAGTTAACAAAGTACGCCAATAATCCTAGACTAAAATGGAAAATAATTGATAAAATTAGTGATTGATCTAAGCCTAAAACAACTCCAACACAGTTGTTAAAAATCGGGATCACCCCAGAAGAATGTTTAGAAAAAGTAAATAACTACTTTGTTTCTATTGCTAAAGATCTTGCAGAGGGCATTTCAAATACAACTACATCAAATACCGATTTTACACAGAATACACACGTTCAAACAGACTCAATGGCAATTTATTATACGACAGAACAAGAGGTTAAATCTATCCTATTCAATTTAAAAACAGATAGTGCAGTTGGATGTGATGGCATTTCTACAAGATTTCTTAAAATGGCAAGCAATACTGTAATCCCACATATCACACAAATCATAAATCTTTCAATCCAAACTGGCATTTTCCCTCAAGCATTTAAACAATCCATTATCCATCCCATATATAAGGGGGGGACCAGAGACTGTGTCAATAACTATCGACCTATTTCTGTATTACCGGCATTATCAAAAATCTTTGAGAAAATACTAAATAAAAGGCTTGTAGCATATTTAAATAAAAAATCGATTATATCGAAAAACCAATACGGCTTTAGAGCAGGTCTATCTTCCTCTCAAGTCGTCTCTGACCTTACTAACTACGTTGCAAACCTTCTAGATCAACAAGAAAGGTGTATAGGCGTATTTTTAGATTTGGCAAAAGCTTTTGACACAGTATCTGTCCCGATATTACTAAACAAAATGGAAAATATTGGCATTAGAGGAAAAATACTGGACTTATTTAAAAGTTATTTGTTGAACAGAACACAGAAAGTGACATTTGACGGGAAATTTAGTGGTGACGCTCCTGTCATATTCGGTGTTCCACAAGGGAGTGTACTTGGTCCCACGTTGTTTTTAATCTATATAAATGATCTTTGTGAATTAAAAATAACAAATGGTAGAATATTTACCTTTGCAGACGACACTTCAATAATATTTCATGGAAAAACTTGGGTTGAGGCCAAAACAAATACCGAACTTGGAATTCGGCATATTAGAAATTGGCTCAATCAAAACATGCTTACACTTAATATTTCTAAAACTAAATATATGCCATTTGCGATCACTCAGCGGACACTACCTATTGAACAAAATTTCGAAATTCAAATGCACTCTTGTCGGAATGGGAATTCTTGTCAATGTAATACACTAAATAGAACTAAAACTATACGTTATCTCGGTGTTTTGTTAGATGAAAATCTTACTTGGAATGCACATATAAAAGACGTAACTGAAAAAACAAGAAAGTTAATTTTCGTATTCAAAAAACTACGCTACGTGGCTGATACTAGTACTCTAAAAACGGTTTACAGCGCTTTGGTTGAGTCAGTAATAACATACTGTATCACATCGTGGGGTGGAGCTTGTAAAACATATCTGTTAAAACTAGAAAGAGCTCAACGAGCGATATTAAAAGTCATGACATCTAAACCATTTAGTTACCCAACAACAGATTTATATTCTGAATGCGATGTCCTTTCTGTCAGGCAGCTATTCATAAGGAATACAATAATAGATCAACATCGGAAACTTGAATATGACCATAGTCTCACAATAAATAGATTGAAGCATAAAGTATGTAAAATAAACCGCTACAGAACATTTTTCATCCATAATTACAACTGTTATTTAGGTCCCACTCTTTATAATAAATTGAATAAAATTCTTAATATATACCCGCTTAACACTTACCAATGTAAAAATATCATAGTAAAGTGGTTAAAAAACCTAACTTATGATGACACAGAAAAATTATTTGCTATAGTTAAATAAATGATAAATGACTCATAAGCTTATAAATTAACTTACACACCCGTATCTATCACACAACACAGTACACACATAAAAAAATATATAATTATACATAATATTATACATATATAAAAAAACATATTTCAGACATATTTTCACATTTTAAACATTCAACACACACCACACAAATGACTTATCATGTTAATATGTTAAATGTTAATTAACCAATTTAATAATATGAATTACCCATGAATACCTAAATAATTAAAGCAGAAAAATTTATTACATAAAATCATATTGTTTAAAACTAGGTACTTAAATAAAAAAAATATATAAACTACTATATTAAAAATTTGGCTTAAGTCATTATTTTTAGTGGTCTAACTTTAACTACTGCTATATTTAACTTTTATGGCGGTACTTGTAAAAAATATTAATAATGTAGAATATCAATGTTTAAAGTATAACAGACCTTGTAATGTCATTTAATTATTGTGTGGTTTTTTGTTAAAAATATGAGTGATAATGTTTAATGATAATTTAGTGACAATCCTTTTGTATCATAGAGGAAGGAACTGTCGTCTGTAATACAGGCTCGGCCTAGTACAGTCGGCAGTGACAAACCGATGTAAGTAGCATAAATTGTAATAAGCTTTATTTTGCGCTTAGTGTAAATTTAATGTCAAAACTTATTGCTAATAAACTTTTATTATTATTATTATTCATTACACTATTTATTTATTAAATACAACTAATATACCTGATAGATACATTTGTATTAAATTGCTTTTTTTTAATTCTTAGAACCTGGATAAAATGGTAAAAGTTTAGGTTATTTTTAATTAATATTAGTTTTTAGATTAATTTATGCAACTAAATTATAATAAGCATTAAGCTATAATATTGTAGATAGGTTATATATATATATATATATATAACCTATCTACAATATTATAGGCACAATCTGTAGCATTTAATTCACAAATGGTTTAATTTATAAAGCATGAAAAATTAATTAGCCGTAGTGATCTACGGATTAATTTGTCTTAATAATAATGTATAACTCAGTTGAGAGGAAATTTTGATTAATTTTAAATTGATATTACAATGTTTTTAGTAATCAAATCTGTAATATCAAATTTGTAATAAAATAAAAAACTTTAATATGCAACATTAAAATATTTTTTATCATAAGCCTAAAAGTATTTTAAGTAAAATTACCAAAATTTTACAATTTTGTTCGTCCTAATTCTCAATATCGTTAAACAACGATTTTCGAATTTATTAAATTTATTTTGATATACGAACTACATAGTTGAATATAAAACATTAAATAAAAAAAAAACTAAACATGGCGTGAGTCATAATCCATACTTAGTTATTGAGATAAAAATACGAACGACATTGTATCTGGGAGAAGGAAGCTTTAAATATGTATGAAAAAGCTCAAACGATAAAACCGACGATAAATCCCCGAGGAATAAATTCAGCGTAAACGTAAACGGACAATGGTGTCATGACTTACGCGCCATAACGTCGACGATCACGAAAATACCGTTCAAATGAAATCATTTACCATATTATTCTTTAGGTGTCCGCAAACTCTATTTTACCGCCTAAACACGAATGCGGAGGCAATTTTTTAAATGCTCAAAATAAATTATGTAGCGAATGGGGAAGGCGTCGGACAAACAAGAAATAAAACGGTCGAGCGCGACTCGCGGCATGCCAGAGCGATGTAGCGATATGACTCCTCCTCTCAATGCTCTCTGTCTAACCCCCTTCCACTCCAAGACGGCCCCGAGCTAAGCTTTCGTTTTATTGTCACTTACACCTCACCAAAGATTTGTTTACTGCTGAAAATCTCTTATCTTAACTAAACTTAGTTTCTGTACAGGACTGTAAGGTTCATTTTCCCGTTTCCATGATCTCGCAGAGATAACAGTATTTTCAATCGGCGTTTGATTTATAAGAAGCTTATTTAGGATTGTCTTAGTTTAATTTGTTAATGATGTTGTCTTCCGTTTGTTTGTGAGCGTATTTTAGGAATGATTAAATATTTTTTTTAAGAGTAGGTATGGTTTTTTATTTGGATTTGTTTTATTTTATTATTTATGTTATAAATTATAATTATGGTAATAGATAAAACAATATATAATGATCTTCAAAAACTGACTTTAACTGAGAACTAACGTGGATTATTAATTATGGTTAAGAGTCTACTGATTAGTAAAATATTCTGACGTCTGATTATATTTCTGAAGAAACATTTGGTCCAACAACAATTATTTTGGTAACGAATAAGGTTTTTTTAAAAAGAATTATACTTTGAAGATGTTTTATCTTGATTGAAGACTAGAAAAAAAATTACTAAGCCAGAAAAATGTGTAGATAATATATTTTGAGTCTCTATAAAATTATCTAAGTAACTATCTAAATACTTCATTTGTGCATCAGATAAAAAGGTGATCATTCTAAAATTTCAAATTTTTATAAATAATTTACAAAATAATATTTTGAAACTAGCAACTCACCCACACTCCGCTCGGGTTCATTAGTTATGTTTTACCGGTATAGATTTCTCAGAGATGGGATATTTTCCCGCAGTAAAAAGTTGTTGACCCGAATAATCAGTTATCGTTATACCAAATTCTAAAAACTGTAGATTCGGCCTCTGTATCGATAATAATGACTATTTGAATAAGATTTTCCAAAAAATATTTAATGTACAGATTAGACTATAATAGAATTTTATTATATGTACTATACGCATCTTTTCAGTAACACCTTCACATAATTGTAAACAAGTAGGCACCTACGAGTAGGTCCTTACCGAATTTTTATTGAGTCAATGTTTCAGCCTTCTAGTTTTAGTGTTTTGATTTAGAATATATATTCGGTATAGTAAGTATAGTTTAAGATTTTAAAATATACTTATTTGTTTCAATTTTTATATAACTCTAATTGTAATTGTAGTTGAATGTTTTATATAATAAGATTATCAGAAAATGTCAAAGAAAAAAGTCTTGAAAAAATGTCTTCTGTACAAAATATTAAAAAAATATTTGAAACAAAAGAAATGTTTTTCTACCTGTCACTCTTTTTGAATACCTAATTATAAAAAATTTTTTTTGTAGGTATTTATTTTGTACATCTAGGCGATTGACGGGGGTTCATTATTTCAGGTAGGTATCTCTACTTCAATTTGGATTAAGCTTTTGCCTTTTTACTAAAATTTTTAATGTAGGTATTTAACTGACTATTTTCTTAAACGAATGTAAAAAAAGAACTTTACATTGGTTAGTGGGCTTTACTTTATTTCTTTGTATTTTTTTTTATTAATTTTTTTTCATCTTAAAAGTAGTTAAATATAAATTACATTTAAAATTTTCAAAATTTCATGTGAATTAAATAATAAATTTTTAATAATAAATATATATTTTTATAAATAATAATTATTATAATAAGTATAATATTTTTTAATTATTAAAAAAAAATACTTTCACTTCGGCGACACTCATTTTTCCAATGTATTGACTTACCTACCCTTCAGTCACGCCTAAAGAAGTTTTACTTCAAAAAAATATACCTAATTGAAATAAAGGTGGACTCTACATAAAGAGCTCTACTCTCACTTTTTGATATAAATATCGATGTTTTCATATTAGTAGAGAGTAGTAACTAGATATTGGTTTTAGAAATTGGTAAAGGCGTCACGAGCGCCATTAGGACTTAGTTTCTACGGATAACGTAATGAAGATAATTGGATAGCTTAACTCTGTGAGATTGGCTCTAATAAGGTGTGTGAGCTGATAATACTTAGACCAAATAGAATTTCTTGAAGAAAAAAAAACATTTGATGAAAAATAAATTAAATTTACTACGTAATCATTCCTGTTGTTTATTTAAGTCGTACATTATATATTATCGCTTATGAGCTAATAATGAAATATTGTCTACAATTTACGTGTTGTTGTTCAACCTTTAAATATTTAAGTTCAGATTTATAGATTGTTAAAAAGGGGGTTTAATATATTGTAATATCTTAAATATTACTATCAATAGAAATGGCATAATGAAACTTGAAAGAAAAGTTGATGTTAATTTGATTTACATTGAAGGAACGGATCGAGTAACATCCAAATTAAGTTTCAGAACTGATCAGAGAACAAGTACAAATTTAATTATCATCGCGTCCCGCGCTGTAATCCGACCGGCCCGGTCACTTAATTTATCTCGTTCGCATTCAATCTTTTTCGGCGTCCCGAGCACGTTAAAAGTATTTCCAAACGTATAAATAATTTACGAAACGAGGACATAAAGTTTGCTGAGCGACCCCCGCATGCAAATCGAGTTGGAAAGAAGTGTCCGCGACGTCGCCGTCTCGCTCTAACACGTCTTGCGCGTGCACGCCAGAGTGAGACGGAGGAGTGGTTGAATTGCGATGTGTGTAGGAGTGAGGGAGACAGAGAGGGTAGTTGCGTTCCGTTAAGTGAATCAGTGCCCGCGTTCGCTATTAAATCAGGGCGCGGGAGGGGGGTGGCGCGTGCTAAAACGCTCTTTACGGGTGGGGTTATGTTTGGCGAGGGCGGTTTCAGAACGATTACTCGCAGTTCGGTATTCGCGGCGAGTGCGGTGCCAGTCGCCAGTCGCCAGTCGTCGCCGCTCGCGTGCACTGTGATCGTGTTTTCGAACGCATTGTGATGATGTCAGCGCGGTGACCGCGCTTTTTCCACACGCGGCTAGGCGGGAAAAGTTCCCGCCCACAACACAACAAAATATTTTCAGACGCTAATAAGGTAATTTGTGTTTTGGATTTTTTGTTTTAGAGTTAGTCTGATTGGTATATTTCGAACTTCTATCATTCTAAGTCACTTTAAAACTTGTATAAGTTATAACTTATAACTAAGTACAGTGTAAAGACACTAGTCTTTAAGGTACAACTTCTTTACACTTTAAAGTCATTTTTATTACAATCAAAAGAGAATTAATATTAGGTATATTATAATTAATAAACGTTCGAACACTATTTAACTATGATTCTTTAAAAATGTTTTTAATATTAAAAGGATTTTTTTAAAATATGACACTGTAGGTATGAATTGAATTTTAATTTTTTAAAAGTGTAATTTAGGTAAAGGTAAAACAATATTAATATTACAATAAAAACAATATAATTATTTGTCAAAGAAAAAAAGCTCTGAATAATTAATAGTTGCACTGTGTCTCCAAAAGAAATTTCAAACTTTAAGATACTCTTAAAGTTTAATAAGAGGCAATGAAATTAGCGGAAATGTTTTGATTACATCATGAGATATCGTAAGAATTTAGAAGAATATAATCGGATAAGTGCGTTTCATTAGTTTACCAAAGATTTTATTACTACTTAGTAAAACTAACTTGAATATAAAATTAATAAGCTAAATATTTATGTTATTTGATTAAAATTATACCAGGAATGAAAAACTACGAGCGAAAGCGATATTTTTTGTTTTTTAAGTTTAAAGTTTGAAGTCGAAAGAGTATACCTAACATAATATAATATATTTTATTATAGTTACATGCCTATATGCAGAATAAAGTTAAAATGTTATAATTTTGTGTAGGTATCTGTTACGCATTCCGTTTGTAATTTATTTATTTTTTTAACAAATAATATACCTAATAATTATAAAAGTTGCACTATCACTGTTTGATAGAATTTACTGTTAATATTAACACAGTAATTTGTTTTCTAGCAATTAAGTAGCGTCTTTAGCGTCTTCTAACGAGATACAAAAAAGGGGTGGAAGGAAAAAAGGGCAGAAGATATAAAAAAAAAACTTTTACCATTAAAAGGGCTTTAAAAATTAGCGTAGGTACCTTTTTATTTAGTTCGAGTTCTGTTAAAATTTCCCAAGTGTAGAGTTATTAAGTAAGGACTACCAACATTTTATATATTTCATAATATCATATAGCCAATATGATTTCGGACAAACAGGGTTTTACTGACTAAGAATATTTTTTTTTATCTTTAGTTACGTTACAAAAAATAGGTTTATAAACTACATTTTAACGAAATTAAAGCGGAGTATTTGTTCGATTTCCATATAAAATACTCAGAAGTTTATTGTCTTGTGATGATTTTCTAAAAAGTCTAACTGAATAGTATCAGAATCATAACAAGGCTGTTTTACTACAGAAAATAGAAAGGTGCTTATATATTAGCAATATAATTAATTTAATACTTTCTTAGATTTACGCGAATATTTGACATTTTAAATAAAACTATCTTTTCGGATTTTTTCGCGGATTTATTTGGATTTTTGGTTCCCGATGTTAATTGTGGGTAGGCTGTCTGTAACAACTATACCTTCGAGACACGTAACACCTCAGTCTCTCCCTTGACCATGAATGCTGTAAAACATTCGATACGTCGGGAACCAAAAATCCAAATAAATCCGCGAAAAAATCAGAAAAGATAGTTTTATTTAAAATATTTATATGTTACTGTTACTGTATAAAATATAATTAATTATTTTTATTTTTACAAAATACTTTTTCATTCATTTTTTTATTTAACCTTAATATTTAATTTATAAGTGAAAAACCAGCGGGTGACAGTTAGTTACTTATATATTATTAAAAAAAACTAAGGCCTAAAATATGAATCAGTTTCAAAGAATCATTTAAAATAAAAAAAGAGGTAAAATTAATACGTTGAGACAAATATAAACCTTACATGTAGGTAATGTTTCTAGCGATCGGTATAGGTTCGCTCGATGGTATTTATTAAATAATTAAATTAAATAATTTTAATTATTTATACCTATAATAGTAATTATTTTTATCTAAAAACACCAACCGGATGTAGAGAGGTACAAACAAATCTCCTTATTTTTCATCCCATTAAATTGTTCAGGATTTAAGGCATGCTTATACTAAATCATAAAGATGGCTTAGCCGCTCAGCCCAGGAGACTCGATCATAGACAGACAGATGCTAGGTACTTTCTTATTTATATAATATTTGAGGAAATACACTAACGATTTATATTTCTTTACATAAATTAAAGGTGATAAACAAAAGATTGTGGCAGTTTATGATATTCTGGTCTTAGAACTAGATTATTACCAGTATTAGTTTATTATATATTCTTCAATCTAACAAATGTATCTACAAATCGAATTCAGACAACAATTTTGCGTTAGCCCAAATATAATGATAATTAAGGAAAATTGTAAGCAATAATTCCTTCTTTTCCCCTTAACGCAAGAAACTGTATTCTAATTTTTTAATTTGACCAATTTGATTTAATTAAATACTAAGTACTGTCAAACCTAAAGTTGTTTATAATAATATATCTAAAATTAAATTGCATATATATATATATATATATATATATATATATATACATGAAAACTATTGCTAACTTTCTAGTCTATGATCATCTTTACTTTTGAAATTCAATAAGTATAATAAAGTCGTTTTTAATAATCTATATATCTATATATTGGTAAAAAATGTGAAGCATTGAGCACTGTGCGTTCGGTCAGTTGTAATAGAATAAAGGCCAATAAAAGGCCGCCAGCAATAAGCTCAATTACGGGACATATTGATATGCAATCGCAGGCGCCCGACGCAATTATGATGGCGCTATATGATCTGCCTGTACATAGTTATGTATAAACGTATATCTTATTACGACAATAAATATATATGTATATATGTATTTAAATCAAAAATAAAATGTACTTAAATATCCATAGGTATATTTTACATACATACTTTGCATTTTACAATTGTAAGTATACCTAGGTACGTATTGCACGTTGTGTGCATTTTTTCAAAAGAAAGCTACGCCATTTCTGCTCCCTTTTTTTAGCTATGATTGTATCCCGTGACTAAACTGTGGATCACAACTAATAATTGATTCATCAGAAGAAATAACCAAAAGCATCACTTTGAATATCATTCAATTTCAATATACACTAAAAATGAGCAATAACTATTTATTAGTGTATTATAATAAGGCAATAAGCACGAATTGACCTTTTTTTATTATTTATTATACAGGAAAAATGAAAATATATTGATAGAACAGCACTCTTGCTACGGCCAGCCTACGCGGCTCTACGGAAATGCTACGTAGGGTAAACTACATAGTAGTAAAGTGCCATAGCGGCCGTTAAAAAAAACTGTATTACGTTTTATATTTGTGTTGTACGTTTTATATTCTAATGATATTTATATTCATATTTGTTATTTATTTAAATTATTATTATAAAAAAAATAAAAATAACATGTTTAACAACTCCAGGTAAATTTCTAAGAAATTAATTAAATTTCTAAGAATTGTTAGCTGTAACGCCGGTGTGTCCACGGTCGTTGAGGGATTAATTTTGGTTTTTGTAGAATTTATAAAAGATAGACACATAATATATTTAATGACAGGAATATTATACATAATTCAAAAACTTAATTATGACAAAAATAAAATTATAATAATCAAATAAATTATGAAAATATTTATATTATTCATGTGTACATGATAAATATTCAACTAAAGTATAACTTCCATTAGCACTACTTTATTTTATCGCAACTTCGTTTGCGTAAGGTAGAAAGGCTTCGGAATTTAACCCTAACTCGATCTACTAAACCTACTCTGGAATTATATGCACGCTTTGAAACTAGTGTAGGTATTATGTGCTTTTGTGAATAGCTAAGTAGTGCAAATTGAGTTGTTTGCGTCGCTCGCAACGCCTTATATAGTTCGATGTTATTATTATATTTGTATAAATATTCACAAACTTAATATAGAGTGTTACTGTTATGTATTTTAAAGTTTAGTAATCTCTATGTGACTGCCAATATGATATTTTTAATCTTTTAAGTATAATTCACCTGGGGGCTAAAACTATTAACCATTTAAAATAATTTTACACATTCTAATGCTATTAAATACGAAAGAAACGATTCAAATACACATTTCTCAAATTTTTCTATACAATGAAATATTTTTGTAGACATAAGGGTCATGTTGTAGCAGTAGTAGTAGGTATATAGAAAATTATTACCTACTAGCGGCTAACCCTCGCTTCGCTCGGGTTCACCTCTAGAAATACAAAAACAAATCTATCCCACGGGAACCGCCCATTTTTCCGGGATAAAAAGTAGCCTATGCGTTATTCCACACTATAATCTATCTCTGTGCCAAATTTCACCTGAACTGTTCTGGCGTGATTGAGTAACAAACATTCAAACATCTAAGCTTTCACATTTATTATATGTATTAGTAAGATTTGAACCATGTTACTGCTTCTGCCTAGCGACTAGCATGCACGGCTGCAGATTCAGAGGTCCTGAGTTTGAGTCCCAAATCGGGCCACGTACAGTTATTGAAATTTTCTCTTATGAAATTTCCAGTATCGGTCCAGAGAAAGGGATGTTGGCGGTGTTATACTCTCGTGCCTCGGAGAGCACGTGAAGCAGTCGGTCTTGCACATGATCTCTCATCGATCGTGTTGAATTGTCATCCAAGCAGAGTTTGAGAGTGAAAGGAAAAGAAAGTGCTCTTGTGTCTGCGCGCAACTTGTAATATCTCCTGTGCACATTGCTAGTCTCAGTGAGATTGGCTGCTGTAACCGAAATCGGCCAGGAGAATGTTATTACTTTTTTTTGTAGCCAGTTATATCCAGATTTTTAACTAGTTTTTGTCAAAGTTTCTGCTTGCCATGACATATCTATAAAAACAAGCATAATTTGCCAGTTTTCTTAGTATAAGAATTTTAAGAATTAATTTTGTAGTTCGAGTGAA